GTACAGAGCAGTTCCGAGCATATTTCGAGATGTTTTGCATTATTTTGAGAAAGCGGCAAAAAAGAGTCGATAAAAATGATAAAAAAAAAAAGGCGCTTTCCAATCCTCCGATGGCGGCTGTACATTTTACCACAATACCATGCGAGCCTTACACAGCCCGTAAAGTACAAGGAAAGCCGTATTTTTTACAAGACTTGTTCTTGTGCTAATCACATTGGGCATGTTACGTTTGGAGGCTTTAGAACTTTTCTTTTTGTTTTGTTAGAGTTTTCTTGCGCTAAGAGCTCTTGGTAAAGGTACCATTCGCCATCTTTGTCACCCCAGTACAAGGTTCCTTTCCCGGCGTCGCCAGACCGACCCATTTTTTAGAAAAGTAAAAGAAAACAATTCCCGATACACTCTCGGACAAGCAATTTTACTTTTTAAATTAATTCACATTATTCTCTGTTGTAAAGGTACACCTTTTTTGACCCAGCGGAAAGCAATATAATTGTAATATCAAGACCAGTTATTAAATGGTTGGTTCTTACAAGGACCGGGAACTACCGAATTCACGAATTTGATTGGCTGAAATCGATATTGAGCGCGGTCTAAATTTTCCCATTTAGATCGGTTACATTTTGAGGTGGAAAAGTTGCAAACTGAAATACAAAATCATTGACTATTTTCTTCTAGTAATATTTATATTATGGAAGTGTTAAAGGCCTGATGAGAGAAAAAAATAAAGAGCACAAGCAAACTTTGGCAGAATTAAGTTCAGCTCACTGCCGTTCGCAAGCAAAAGGGTAGCCTGCGAACAGGCTCCCAGCGCGGGCGGATAAAAAATTCGGCGAGCGAAAGCGTGATTCCCCGAGCGAAGCGAGTGGGAGTCGGAGCGAGAATCCGCGTCACCAGACCGCTCTCGGCTCGTCCCGCTCGCCATAGACTACACTCGGCTAGCTCGCTCTAAAACCAACCGGGAGCCTGTTCGCAGGCTAGCAAAAGGTCAGCTAGTACAAACCAGCACGAGTTACATTAATAAAAGAATTAGATTTTCTTTTATGCCATATAATAAACATCTTATTTTAAAAACGAGTTTAGTCGGTCTGTATGGGAGAATCTTGACCTCGGT